TTTTTTTGTGTAGCTATCTGGGGTTATCTTCCTAGGGATTAAGTAAGCATAAAGAAAACCTAAAGTATGAGGTTAGTAATCCTCAAATTTAGGCTTGACTCAAGATATGAGGAAAATACTAAATTTTATGACCTAAAGTATGAGGTTAGTAATCCTCAGATTTAGGCTTGACTCAAGATACGAGGAAAATACTAAATTTTATGTGTCTTGTTGTGTTGTTTGTTTTTTTTTTCTTGCAGGCTTATTGGAGGAGATACTCAGCTAGGAAAAAATATTTACAGCTAAGACACTATGTTATTTTTGTACAAGCAAGAATAAGAATGGTGAAGTCTGTTGCTGCATATAAACGGATTATTTGGGCTACTGTTACAATTCAGAATCATCTGCGTGCATCTAAGTTGGCCAAAAAAGATCAGCAAAGATATGAAGTCTTAAAGTCTTCAGCACTTACTATTCAGTGTGCATTCAGAAGATGGAGAAAATACAGAATGCAGCAGAAAGTTCAAGCAGCTTTAGTGCTTCAGAGTTACTTCCGAAAATGGCAGTCCTCCAAACTGGCTAAAAGAGAGAGCGCTGCCCTCGTCATACAGTCTTGGTACAGGATGTGCAGAGATCTGAAGCGGTATCTACATATTAAACAAAGTGTTATCAAAATCCAGGCTTGGTACAGGTGTCGGCTGGCTAGGCATGTTTACCAGGTACACAAGGCAAAAATAGTGACAATTCAGCATCATTACAGAGCTTATAAACTAGGAAAGACTGAAAGAGAGTAGTATTTGCAAAAGCGAGAGGCAGTGGTAGTTCTTGCAGAGATCTGAAGCGGTATCTACATATTAAACAAAGTGTTATCAAAATCCAGGCTTGGTACAGGTGTCGGCTGGCTAGGCATGTTTACCAGGTACACAAGGCAAAAATAGTGACAATTCAGCATCATTACAGAGCTTATAAACTAGGAAAGACTGAAAGAGAGTAGTATTTGCAAAAGCGAGAGGCAGTGGTAGTTCTTCAGGCTGCTATCAAAATCCAGGCTTGGTACAGGTGTCAGCTGGCTAGGCGTGCTTACCAGGTACACAGGGCAAAAATAGTGACAATTCAGCAGCATTACAGAGCTTATAAACTAGGAAAAACTGAAAGAGAGCAGTATTTGCAAAAGCAAGTGGCAGTGGTAGTTCTCCAGGCTGCTTTCAGAGACATGAAGGCACGTAAACTATCCAGAGAAACAAAAGCAGCTTGTCTCGTTCAGTCACTGTGGAGAATGAAAAAAGAGAAACTAAGATTTCTACGATTAAAAAAATCTGTTATTACTTTGCAGTCATATGTGAGAAAATATCAACAGGTAAAAAGATACAAAGAGATTAAAAATGCTGCTTTTGTAATTCAGACTTGGTATAGGGCATGTGTTGCTGCCAGAAAGGCATCTGCCGCTTTCCAGAGGATGCGCCTGGCTGCTGTTGTCCTCCAGTCTGCCTACAGGGGAATGGAGGCTAGGAAGGAGGCTCGCGTGTTGAGAGCTGTCATAAAAATTCAATCAAGTTACCGTGCCTATGTTGCCCGGAAGAGATTTAAAAACTTGAAAGGTGCGACCGTGAAGATTCAAGCTTTTGTAAAGATGAGGCAAGCACATAGACAGTATTGTGCTTTAAGAGAAGCAGCACTTCATGTCCAGCAAAAGTATCGCTCTCGTAGGCACACTCTTCAGCTTAAAGAAGATTACAGGAAATTGAAGGGAGCTTGCATAAGAATTCAAGCTGCAGTTCGAGGCCATCTTGTCAGGAAACAAATACAAAGGTGGAGGGACGCAGCCATATTTCTCCAGGCATGCTACAGAATGAAAAGTGCCAGGCAGGAGTTCTTGCAAGTTAAAAAAGCAGCTGTTTGCTTGCAGGCAGCCTACAGGGGTTATAAGGCACGAAAAAAACTTAAACTTGAATGTAGAGCTGCTATTAAAATTCAGACTGCTTTCAGAGCTCATGCTGCAAGAATGAAATACAAGGCAATGATTCAGGCCTCCACTGTGATTCAGAGGTGGTACAGAGCCTGTAAGACTGGGAACAGGCAAAGGCTGGACTTCTTAACAACAAGAGCAGCAGTGCTTTCTCTGCAAGCAGCTTTTCGTGGCTGGAAGGTACGGAAGCAGGTTCAAAGGCAACATGTTGCTGCAACTAAGATACAGTCTGCCTTCCGAAAATTTGTGGCTCTGAAAAAATTCAGACGTATGAACCGTGCTGTGCTAACTATCCAAAAACATTACAGAGCTGCTGTTACAGGCCGAAAACAACGGCAAGAGTATGTGCGGCTGCACCAGTCTGTAGTGTGTCTTCAGGCAGTATGGAGGGGGAGAACTGTGAGAAAAACAATTCAAAAGAAACATAATCTTGCAACAGTTATTCAGTCCTCTTACAGAATGCATGTGAATCGACTAAAATATAAGAAACTAAGGCAAGCAACTCTAGTGATTCAGAAATACTTCAGAGCTTACTGTATGAAAAAGAAACAACATGCGATTTACTTAAGAACAAAGGCAGCTGTGTTAGTCCTGCAGGCTGCTTACCGTGGGATGACTGTGAGGAAACAACTGAACAAGCTAAAGAAAGCTGCCGCAGTTATACAAGCTGCCTTCAAATCCTACCTGCTCAGAAAGGACTATAGACGACTAAGATCTGCAGCTATAGTACTTCAGAGGCGTTATCGTGCTATTATTCATGCTAAATGTCAAAGGCAGAAGTATTTGTCTTTAAAAAATGCCACAGTCAAAATGCAGGCGATTTATAGAGGTAGAAGAGTTAGACGCCAAATTCATGGTATGCATCAAGCAGCTGTTTGTATCCAAGCCACGTTTAAGATGCATCGCATCAACATAAAATACCAAGCAATGAGAATGGCAGCAATTATAATTCAAAGACACTACAGAGCAGTTTGTTCTGGCAAAGTACAACGTAAAAGGTACTTGGAACTAAAGAGGTCTGTCATTATCCTCCAGGCTGCCTGTAGAGGCATGAAGGTCCGACAGGACTTAAAAACTATGCATCGGTCAGCAGCAGTAATACAGTCTTACTATCGGAGGCACAAACAGCAGAGGGATTTCAGAACAGTGCTGCTGGCAGCCAGGTGGATCCAGCGGTGGTTCCGCGCCTGCAAGGAGCGGGATGCACAACTTCACAACTACGTGGTTATGAGAAGCGCTGCGCTCCGTATCCAGGCTGCCTTCCGTGGGAGGAGAACAAGACGACTCCTGAGAACTAGGAGTGAATCAGCCAGGCTTATTCAAAGGAGATTTAGAACTTTTCTAGAAAGAAAACGTTTTCTTGCCATTAAGACAGCTGCTATCTTGATTCAGAGAAAATACAGAGCAACAAAATTATCAAAAATTCAACGCGAAAAATATCTCTCTTTCCTTAAGGCTGCTGTTACCATACAGTCTGCTTATAGAGGCTTTGTGGTAAGGAAAAAATTGCAGCAGATGCATCAAGCTGCTGCAGTTATTCAAGCAACGTTAAGAATGCGTAAAATTTACATTTCCTATCAAGCTGTCAGGTTTGCGTCAGTAATCATACAGCAGCGCTACCGTGCTTACAGGGAAGGGAAGCGTGTGAGAGAAACATACTTAAAACTGTACAAGTCAGTTGTAGTTCTTCAGGCTGCATATAGAGGAATGAGAACGAGATGCTCCTTGAAGAAAAGACACAAGGCGGCACTCACGATACAGAGAAACTACCGGATGTGTAGGCAGCGCTGCCATTATAGGAAAGTTCAGTGGGCAACCCAGGTAATACAGGAGAGATACAGAGCCAATAACCTGAAGAAAATTGCAGTACAGCGTTACTCTGCATTAAAGAAAGCAGCAGCTGTTATTCAGAAGGCTTTTCGAGACCAACGAGCAAAAAAACATCAAGAAATGCACTGTGCTGCTATTGTTGTTCAGAAAAATTTTAAAGCGTTTAGAGAGCGTCGAAGATACGTTGCTCTTAAAGCAGCTACTCTTGTCTTTCAGAGAAGATACAGAGCTCTGATTCTGTCAAGGCAGCATGCTTTGGAGTATGTGTCTCTTTGCAGAGCAACTCTTCGTGTGCAGGCTGTGTACAGAGGACTCAGGGTGCGGAAGAGCATTGAGCAGATGCATTTAGCTGCTAGGACAATACAGTCAGCCTACAAGATGCACAGGAATAGAAGGTCCTATCAAAATATGAGAACTGCAGCTATTGTTATACAGAACCGCTATCGATCCTACGTTAAAGGGAAGAGTCAGCGAAAGGGATTCCTGACAATGAAGAATTCTGCTCTTGTTATTCAGGCATCATATAGAGGCATGAAGGAACGACAGAAACTGAAAATCATGCATGCTTCAGCAGTTGTAATACAGTCTAATTACCGCATGTATGTACAACATAGATACTACCAGCGGTTGTGCTGGGCTGCGAAGGCTATGCAGCAAAGATACAGAGCCAAATTGGCAAGAGAAGCTGACATGGAAAACTATGCAAAAATAAAAAAAGCTGCCATATGCCTTCAGTCCTCTTTTCGAGCTAGAAAAGCTAGGCAGCTGTACAAGAGCAGTGTTGCAGCCCAGCGCATACAGTCGTTCCTACGAATGCGCGTGGAGAGGAGGCGTTTTCTTGAGAAGAAAGCGGCAGCAGTGGTGATCCAGTCTGCGTTCCGACGCCAGAGAGCAAGGGCTTGCTATAAACTGGTTCAGAGTTCAGCAACTGCTATTCAGAGGTGGTACAGAGCGTGTCACAAGGCTCATTTGCAGAGAGCAGAATATTCTGCCCAAAGACAAGCAGTAGTGATTATTCAGTCTGCCTTCCGTGGTATGAAAGCCAGAAAAACAGCAAGACAAATACGAGCTGCAAGAAAGATTCAATCTTTTCTTCAGATGGCTGTGCAGCGTAGAATATTTGTTCGACTTAGAACAGCAGCTATTACGTTACAAGCCTATTACTTAATGTATAAAACTAGATCACAGTACAGAAGCTATAAAAAAGCTGCTGTTGTCTTGCAACGGCACTACCGATCTTGCTTGACTGCGAGATACCAAAGAATGGCTTTCTTACAGACCCGGAGGAACATTATCATTGTGCAGGCCAGAGTCAGAGGATTCATTGAAAAGAAGAGGTTTCACAAAATTAAAGAGAGCACAATAAAAATTCAGGTAATTTAGGATGTGTAGTAGTGGGGTTTGGGTGTGGGGGTTTTCCTTTTTTTTTTTTTTTTTTTTTTTAAGATTACTGCTCTTGCAAAGCAACACTGTAAAGATATATGTTAAAGCAGACTCAATTTCTGAAGTATACTACATGGCAGATCTATAAAGCCTACTACCAGAGTGGAAAAAATTGAATCTCAGTTCATCTCTCTTTAGTCTTTCCTTGTGAAGATACTCATCTTTAAACAGTAACATCCCTTTTTCTTCTCATTTCTCCTCTAGCATTTTACTCTTCATATAAGTTCTGATACTTGGGTGTGTTTCTGTGGTTCTTCTAAGAATATTTTTGTCCCAATTGGCTTTTACCTATATAAATATTAGTATTTCATCGAATGTTTTTTTTTTCATGTGAATGCAAGCTGTCTTGATGTGTTGAAATGAGTGAGCACTGGTATGGAGCATAAAGTGAAGTAGATGGTAAATAAAAGGCATAACTGCTATGTTCTTTAAGACTCATATTTAGGAAGGCAGGGTTAAATCAATTGTTGCTTCTTTCAGATCTATTAAAGGGCCCTAGAGTAATTTGAGTGCCTAGCTAACATTTTGAAGAGGAAGGAGAGAAATTGCATTCTTATTGTACGTTTCAGTTGGTGTGGTGTCCCATGAAACACTGTGAAAGTGAACTGTATCTGTGATTTCTCACAGGTGTTGTAAGAAGTGGGAAGCATATAGTTTCATGTTTTTTCCTTCCATCATTGATGTCACAGAAGTGTGGTCAGCAAAAGGTTCTTCATCTCCATGTAGCGAACTAAATATCCATGCAGTGCAAGTTCAAAGAATCTTAGAAGACTAGTTACTCTGAAGTGCTTTCTCAATTCCCTACCCCTCCCTTACCCACTCATGCCCCCACCTTTCTGGGTAAAGCTTTGCGTGACTTCCTGTGGTGGCCTTAGTTATTTTACCTAAAGGAAGCAGTTTCTTTTCCAGATACTATTGGAAAGAAGGATTTTTTTTTTTTTTTTTCCCAAACCCAGAAAGAAAGGGAAATAAATGATCTCATAATAATTTTGTAGGTTGCTTTTACTGTCCTGTTGGAGAGCACACACTTAGCAGATAAGTGAACAGGTGTACCTTCTTCCACTACATGTTTTGGGGTGGAGTTGTAACTTCTTAGTTATTTTCTGAATGTTTAACTCATCATGAACAATGTAAGTATGCTTACTTTGCTTAAAAGGTGAAGAAAAAAAGAATTAATGGGAAAAGCAGAAATAAATATTTAGATTCTTGTTTTTCTAATGTGCCAGTAAGTACAGCTTTGTGTAAAAATATGTGAACAGCTTTCCAGTCACTACCATGCAAGTGGTGAATTCTTCCAAGATTGTCTCTTTCTTTTAAGGCATGTTTCCGTGGATTTGTTCAGAGACAGAAATATCTTCAGTGCAGGTTTTCTGCTGTATTAATACAGCAGCACTACAGAGCCCATCTAATGCGAAACAATGAACAACGACGGTACCAACACATGAAAAGAGCTGCCATTAGAATTCAGGTAACCCCAGAAAGTGGTTTTGGGGCGGGGTGTTTCGTTGTTTCGTGGTGGTTTGTGTTTTTTTGTTTGTTTGTTTTTTTAATATCTCTTAGGCCTTTATTTATTTTGTATGATTTTGACATAATTATTTTTATGACATCGTGACCTAATTATTTTACAGACATTAAAGAGAGTGGCATTTCTGGTATTTTCCTGAATGTGCTTCACTTGCTTTAGAAAACATCTACATGTGAAAAATTATATGAAATACAATAGAAATAGCACAAAAGGCTTTTAGGATTTCTAATGTGCCTTTTTTCCTTTTATTTTTGTTTGCTCCAATAAACAAACAACAAAATATCAATTTTTGAATGTCTTTCTTTGTTTTTATATATTTAATAGGCATCATATAGAGGATATAAAGCCAGACAGTGGGTTAACAAACTGAGAGCAGCACAAGTCATTCAAGCCTGGTTTCGAGGCTGCAGAGCACGAAAAGAATACCTATCTGTGGTAAAAGCTGTACGTGTTATTCAGAGTCACTTCAAAACAAAGCAGCAGCGGACTTGGTAATACTGAATTTGTTATAAATTTCTCTACTTTTCAAAGCTTTTACTATACAATTATTTTGTTTGCACTCTGGCAAGTGCCTGTGGATTCTCAGGCTCTGACCCTGCAGCATGTATGTAACATGGAAAAAATATAATCCTGTTGATGCAGGTGGGATTATTCTTTTGCACAAGTTTTTTTTTCTTCTATTTAAATATTTTTCTGGACTGGAAGCTACATCGCAAACTTAAATTTTGCATATTTGGGATCTAGAAAGAATAGGTCTTGATCTTTTTTTCACTAACCTTTTTCCAGGAAGGATGTTCTGGATATGGTTAGAATTCCAGCATAAATCTAATAGGATGGAAAGCTATTTTGTTATACTTCATAATGGAATATTTAAATTAGCTTGTATTTGTTTTGCTGTGAGATGGTTTTGTAATAAATGCTCTACTACATGAGCTTGATGGCTCATCTAATTCAGAACTGTGTCCTCTGCTAGCAGCAGCAGAAGGTGCTGTTTAGGAAGAGTATGTTAACCTGATCCTTTCTACGGTCCTCCTTCAGCATCCATGCTTGTTAGATTATGGACACTAGAATTTGTATCTTTTCTTATTCTCTTTGTTATCCTTTTGTGGACCTGTTTTACATCAATTGGTCTACTGCATTTTAAACTGCTGTTTCCCTCCACTGACTCCTTTGGCAGCAAGTTCTGGAGTTACCCTTCTGTGGCAAAACAAAGTATCTTCTACTTTAAACCAACCTTTCTGCCAATATTGCTGGCTAACTGCTGGATCTAGTGTTATAAGATTTGATTGGTAAAAGCTCTGCTTTCACAATACTCATCTCAATTTTATAAACTCACTGTTTTCTTACTTCAAAAATGCAAATGTTCTCAACTTTTTGAAAAAGACTGACAGGCATTTTCATGTTAGGTTTTTGAAAATGAAGTTCTGTGCAGTTACCATTCAAAGAAGATGGAGAGCAACCCTCGCTGCACGAATGATTCAACATCAGTTCCTAACAACTAAGAAGGCTGCAGTTAAGATTCAGTTGGCATATAGAGAGTACAGGGCTAGAAGGGTGTTAAGAAAGGTATGTTTTCACTTGCGCTTTGTTACGTCATGGCTGTTTTAAAAGTTGCCAATGTATTTGAGAGATTTTGGCTGTAAATTTTTTCTTTCCTATACTTTTGCAAAAGATGGAGCCAGAACAGAGATTGTTGAAGTCCTAACTGTTCCATCTTCAAAATACTAAACTTCCTTTTTGCTTTGTGCAATGAAGTTGATTCTTATTTTTTAACTATTCCAATTGTTGAATTGCTACTATCTGTACTGATAACAAGATAAAATGTAAAGTTTTCTGCTAGCTTTATTGCTTAAAAAGTGTTTTGTTAAGTTGCCCATATTTTGACCCCATGTAGGTAAGGGAAAATAGCTTCCAAACTGTGAAAGTGCATTTTTTATATAAACTAGTACTGCATGAATTTGCCTGTATATCCTATTTTATTTTTGTTTACATTGGGGGGAAAAAACAAATCGAGAACCAAAATGTAAATGTATATATATTGATCATGACAGGAACGTACAAAAGTTTAACTATCAATGCATTCTTTTAAATCTTTTTCGGAAGCTTCAAGCTGCATGTTTGATTCAAAAAGCCTACAGAGGTTTCAAGGCAAGAAGGAAACTTGTTCAAAAAAAAAAGCTGCTGCTGTTACTATCCAAAAACATCTGAGGGCTTAGTGGGAGGGCAGGCTTCAATACATGAAATACAACAAAAGTAGAAACACTGTCATTAAACTGCAAGCACTTATACAGGGTTATTAAGTAAGAAAAAAGGTTGGTATATTTCAAATTAAAAACTATACCTTCACTGTAAAGTATCTAGAACTGCTTTAGCATTAATTCCAGCTGGCAAGAAAAGGAAAATGTGATCGCTTGTTGAACTCAAATTCCTATTGACAGCTTTGAGAATTGGGTGGATCAGAATAGGTCAAAATACAGCTTTACCCTTTTCTCACATTCCTGTACTACTAAAATAGGTTGTCATTGTTGAGTGCGTTTTTGGCTTCTGAGATCTTTGTGATTTACCTCTAATTGACACTTCTGCACACAGCAAAACTGTTCTCTGCTGTATATTAATGTTGTTCACAATCTTACTGTTCAGATTAGAGACCTAGTACTGAAGAAAGGTACCTTACCACCTTAGTTCTGAGGTAATGACTTCTGAGAAGATTCTTCAGTGTCCAATGGCGTGTTGCTATGTACTGTGGTCTTTGCATAGACAATCAGGCACCTCTGAGTATGAAAATTAATGATGTTCCTTGTTTTGTTTTCCTTCTACAGATTTCAGAACAGAAACAAAAGAAGAGACTATTGTGTTTTACAGCGGCTGCATATCATCATATTTCTGCCATTAAAATTCAAAGGGCGTATAGGATTCACCTTACCTTAAAACTTGCACAAGACCAGATCTTGTCTGTTCTTATAATACAGGTTAGTCTAATTGCAGGATTGATGATTTTGTGTAATGTGGTCTAATTTCTGTTGGCTAAGCTGTAGCACTGAGACACGATATTTCCTTCACATGTAAAAATAAAGCTAAATTATGGAGACTATGACTTATTAAAGAATGCTGCTTGTACACAGCTAAGCATTATAGAGTGGATCTTGTCAGGTTCTGGAAGCTGAAGTACTTTAAAGCTGAATGTGGATGGGAAAGTTCTTTCCTTTAGGCCCTTAAGCTTCCTAAAAGAATCTGGGTGCTGTCTTAGACTATTTCTTTACATCCTGCTGGAAGTAGGAAAGATCAGACACTGTAACCTGTAAGGCTCATGAAATGAGCAAGCATCTCCTTCTGAGAGCAGTCCCCTGGGATATAGTGATTTATCTGATTGGGTGTTTCTAGCCTGTAAGTGGTAGCAGAGCCTGTCAAAGTTATGGCATTTTTCATATAACAGTATTTTGCTTCTCCAAAAGTGAGATCAAGAAACGGGTCTGTATTGCAGTGCTCCCTAATAGTAAAAACTATCTTCAAGTCTCCAAACTCACCGTTAGCTTACTCTCAGTAATGGAAGGTCAGCATTAGATTAACAGAGAGCCGAACAGGAACCCTGAAATATGAACGTCCTTTGAGGAGCAGCTAAGGACTTCAGGTGTATTTAGTTTGGAGAAAAGCAGAGGTGACCTTGTTGCTTTCTACAGCTTCCTGAGGAGGTGAAGTGGAGAGGGAGGTGCAGATTACTTCTTCCTGGTATCCAGTGAGTGACAGGACACGTGGGAATGGCTCAAAGCTGCACCAGAGGAGATTTAGACTGGACATTAGAGAGCATTTCTTTACCAACAGGGGAGTCAGTGCTGGAATAGGCTTCCTAGAGAGGTGGTTGATGCCCTGAGCTTGTCAGTGTTGAAGAGGATTTATGTTTTGGTCAGCCCAGAAGTGGTCAGGCAGTTAGACTAGGTGATAGTTTGTAGGGGCCTTCCAACTGAAAATACTCTGTTCTATTCCATTCCATTCTGAATGCCTCCCTCACTGCTCCTAGGTAAAATATCATTTTGCAGTCTGGCATTTTGGCTACCCCAAGACTAGTCAGAGCTGTCATAGTGGTTATAGGTGATGTCTGTAGTGACTGTTTGTCACAGCTCATGTTAAAATAGATCTCTGTTTTTTATCAATGCTTGTTTAGGGTGGGAAAAGGAAGCTTAGGGAAAAGTCTTAAATAAATGAACAGAATGGTACTTTAACTTTAAACAGAGATGGTTCCGAGCAAAAATGCAACAGAAGAGATTTCGAAGAGATTACCAGAGAGTTGTTCACTTGCAGCGCGTGATCCGGGGCTGGCTGCACCGCCGGCATGAGGCAGCAGCTGTGCTCCAGAGGAACGTGCAAAGGTTCCTGGCCCACAGGAGGAGGATAAAGTTTGTGGGTGGAATCATTAAATTTCAGGTAAGTAATTCCTGAAAGTAAACTACAGATTTAATTTTTTTTTTTTTCCATTTTTCTCTCAGGGTTTTTTGGAGAGAGGAACGCTGTTACCTTTGGTGAATTTATCAGTTAAGCTACAAAACAAGTCAGCTTTAGTTTAGACATAAAGCTAAATGCAAACAGATCATAAATTAAGCAGATACTTGTTGAGGTGACCTATGTGGGGGTGTGTGTGGGGTGAATGTGCAGGTTTGTTCTGGTCTTTTGTCTTGAAAATCCAGTATTTAGAAGACTAAATGCTGGATGGTAATTACTTATAAGTTAATAACCAAGGTAAATAAACACCTTCTCAGACTTGTGCAAAATTGATTTGGAATGGTAATGGAAGTTTGATGGTCTATGGCTCACAACTTTTTATCTTTTTGTTAAATTCCTTTTCTGTAGGCTTTGTGGAGAGGATATTCTTGGAGAAAGAGTAACGACACAGCAAAAACTAAAGCTTTAAGACGTAGTTTGGAAAGGGCTAATGAAGAGAGCAGAGAAGAAAACAAATTGTGCAACAGAACTGCAATTGCGATTGAATACCTTCTAAAATACAAACATATCTCTTATATTCTTGTGGCGTTAAAGCATCTTGGTCAGTATTTTGTTTTATTATAACTGCTAGATTTCCAGGTTGATAGAAACTGGAATTTTTCAGCTGAAAAGAGTTCCTAATGGTGTTTAGGCTTTCTGTATGATTGTAAAATGTGAATGTGCTAGAGGGTATAAAAGGAGTTTTTTTTCCAGACCTTAAATTAGATTGTGGGTATACAAACAATATTAAAATTGTTATGTAGAGTAAGGAAATCCGATATGGTTGCTCTAATTTCCTGGCAGTCCTGGTATGCCTTACAGGTCAGTTATGTTTCTTGTTAGTGTACATTTTCCATGGATAATTTTGTCTGCTTAATTTCTAGTCTGGAATATTTAAACTATTGATTTTGAAACACTTACTGAAACCAATAATTGTGCATTTTACTTTTTTTTTTTTTCGCACTTCTAGTTAAAAATGAGAGAAACTGGTTTACAATTAAATTGCTTGACCTTGAAAGTGTTGAGTTTTGGTTGTTTTGTGTGTTTGTTTGTTTAATCATCATAGAGGTGGCAACCAGGCTGTCCCCACTCTGTTGTGAAAATATGGCCCAGAGCGGAGCAATCTTCAATATTTTTGTTCTGATCCGAAGTTGCAACCGGAGTGTTCCGTGCATGGATGTGATCAGATACTCAATTCAGGTGCTACTTAATGTTTCAAAGGTAACTTCAGTTCTTTCCTTTGCAAGTTTATAAGCTGTATTCTGTTATGGTATTTCTTTTGTCACAAAATTTTTGGATAAATTTGGAACAACAAAAGTAATAGTAACAGGGAAAATAAATAATTTAGACTAAACTTAATTTTAAAGTTCTTTAAACTTATTATAATTTATTCTTCTATTTTAAATGTAAAATTAGATTCTACAGGTTTCTAAACAAGAGGGGGAGCCCAAAAGCTAGGTTCTTGTAACCTGTTATGATGTAACATACAGAAGTGATTTATATTGCTTGGAGGCCAGATCAGCTACAAATTTAATCTAGGGGAGATTATGGATTTTGCTTTTTCTTCTAACATGAAAGGTATTTAAAAGATTTGTCCATATAATGTCTCTTGTGTTTTTCTTTTATAACAGTATGAAAGAACTACTGAAGCAGTTTACGAAGTGGGAAATTCTATAGATACATTACTAGACTTACTGCAAATGTACAGGGGGAAAGCTGGGGACAAAATTTCAGAGAAAGGAGGAAGCATTTTCACAAAGACCTGTTGTTTGCTGGCCATCATTTCAAAGGACTCAGAAAGAGCTTTGGTAAGACTTAAATGTTCTGAATGTAGTAATTTGACTTAACAAGCTTTTATTGCATGTTTTGGTGATGTTTGTAATTTTTTTTCCTCCCCCTCCCTATAGTCTTTATTATGGCTGTAATATTAGTTATGACTAAAAAACTCTAATTCTATTTTACTTTAATAATTTTTAAAATCATTCAATAAGACACTGAGGTTGTGGTCCTGCAATCCTTGCAAGTTTATGATATTGTAATCCCTATTTTCCTTAGGGTTTTGATGTCTTTCTAGCAATTGCTTAGCATTAGGTGTAACTTTGTTGCAACTTAATTAACTTCCATTGCACTTCTGAAAGTTTACTGTTGCTTTTCAGATGAAGTTAAAATCTTTATTGCCAGTAACAACTGGCAATATAATTGTCCCTGACTTTGTGTTGACATTCTCTGTTGTAACAGATGTAGCCTGTTTCTGAAAGAAATTGTTTCTGTCTGTGTCTGCTGCTAGAATCCCTAATAAAGTTATTAGGGTAGTCTGGGTTCTGTGCTATGAATCGACTAGCTGCTTAGCCATCAGATAACAGCACTTAAGTTATCCAGTCACCTCGGACCTTTGCATTGTTCTTGCATGGTGATGAAGATGGGTACGAACATTAATTTGTCTCTCTGTACCAATCATTGCAGACAGATGCCAATGACATATGTGAAAATATGGTTTAGTGAGAAATTAGTAAAATCTCACTTGTAAGAGCCTGAACTTCTGAGATCTCAAGTCTCATACCAGTTGTTAAGTATTTTGCAAGCATTAGCAAAGTGACCTGTAGGCGTGCTGGCTTAAAAATTGTTTCACTGTACTTGTGGGTACAATAAGTTCAGCTTAAATGATGAACATTCAGTTTTCATTGAATAAAACAGTTAATACTACAACTTTGAAAGCAGTTTAAGCCAAGAAAACTATGTACTGTTTTCACCTTTTCTCAGGCCATTCGAAGCATGCCGAGAACTGTTACTTGCATTCAAAGCCTATATAAACTTACAGCTCGTAAACACAAAATGGATGCAGAAAGAACACTTGTGAAGCACAAAACAAACCCTTTAAGTGGAACTCCTCTAAGGATCAAAACAGTTTCAAGGTAAGAGCTTAAAAATTAGTCTGCTATCTTTGCTGTGACAATACAATATTTAATGACAAACCACTAATATTTTCACAGAATTAAACCAGACTGGGTTTTGAGGAACGATAACATGCATGAAATTGTGGATCCTCTGCAAGCAATTATAATGGTGATGGATACACTTGGAATTACCTGCCACTGAAATGTAGAAGATGTATATGAAAATGTATTTGTACAGCATGTATGTAGTAGACAGATGAGTGATTTTGGAAGAAATCAAATAAGTGTTAAGCTACCCTTGAAAATGGATTTTTAAACCACAATATATTTTTTTAACTTTTTTTGTATTGTATATGGCTTTTGAAATCCTATTTTGTGCTACTGTCAGAAGCAATTGTACAATAAAATAATAAGCCCTTGAAATTTTATTAATGCAGTAATGTGTTGTTATTACACAACTGTGAATCTTACCAATACCATGGTATTCCTCACTCTGATTAAAAATTGTAGAATTCTATTAAAAACAGTTGTTTGTAGGACACCTGTTTCCTTGTCTGATCAGGAGAGGTGTAGATGAGAAGGGAGGCACAGTCTCTGGATTTCAAAACTGGCTACTGTTTTGCGGGAGTTTGAGTTTACTTTCTAGTAAGGTTTTGAGAGATTGTGTGTGACTGTGGGGGAAAAAAAGTAATCATTCCTAAATCGTTTTTTTAAATACTACAAGGTTATGATGGAACGACATCTTCTTACATAAGAGTGGGATTAGAAATTCTGACCTGATATTTTAAGGTGACTTGTGAGTGCTCATTTCGTGTCATGGGTGCAGCACATACAAGCGTGCATCTCATCCAGCTGGACAGATGGTGTTCATCACAGCATCTCCCTTAAATTCTGTTCTCTTGTGCCTTGTAATTGTGTTTTCTTGGAGCAAGACCAGGAAAATTAAACCTGAAATTATACCCTCCCACCCCCAAATTTAAAGATTATGCCTCCCAAGGGTGAGGGGTTATATGAGGGTAGGCTGGAGAAGGGGAAAATTTTCTGTTTCCTGTTATTTCAGCCAAGATAAATAATCTGATTACAGAATGCCCTTTACACTTGGAACTTGGGAGATTGTGAGGGAAACAGTGTTCAACTAGTTTAAATTGTCCCATAAGCTTGTTGCTTGATCTCACTGTAAAATGATAAGTTCTGTCCTCTTTACTGATCTAAAGTATGTCAGAGGGAAATAAGATTCTGCAAGTCTAGCATTAGGATATTTGAAGAACTAAAAAAAGTGTTTTCAGTGGCATAACTTGTTGCCAAATACCATGGACGCTAAGGCATTTGTGAATCCCTTTGAAAATCCAGTTAATTATTTACAAGAGTAATACTTAGGGAGTTTTCACAGGTGGTGCAAACTGTTGATGGAGACAGTAATGAAGATGAGGTTTAAAAGCTGTTTTTTCTTCCTAGTTATGATGTATTCAGGCAAACTCCTCGCAGAAGGTAAATACACTGAATTCTGTTGTGAATAAATGTACATTGCACCTAGAATATGTGGCCTAGGTAACTTAAGTGCAACGTCTTTCATATCTTTACCAGGAGTTAAAGCTGCTTTTTAAATATAATTTTGTGAGATGGCTGATGATTGTGGTTCAGCTGTCACCGTAGCTCAGGGCCACAGTTTGATATGTAAAAGCCAAAGCTGTAATATTGAAAGGTTCAGAATTTTTTTCAGAAAAAGTTTATTTTGAAATGTGTTTGAGCAGTATTTAGGTACTAAGACAAATTGAATTTTGTACTATTAAGACATTATATGCATTTAAGTGTCTTGGTGATTGAAGTGTTTTGGCTTTACCACAAAGCAAAAGAGCAGGAGTTAAATGAGACATACAGCCTGGGGTGGTTCTCAATTTCCTACCCCTACATGTAGCACTGCTGAAAATTCCTCTTTGTATAGTTTACATGCCACTTGAACTGCAGGTTCAGGAAGCTGTGGACTGTGTATGAGGGTGTTAACTCCAGCATGTCTGTTGCAACTACTTCTGTCTTCACTAGAGTTTTGTTGGTACACAAAGCACTTGAAATTACACTGACACCCTTTGGAAAGTCAAACAAAAGGTGTGTAGGTAGCAACAATTTGTGGGTCATAGTTACTTAAAAATCTTAATCACCCTCAGGTTTGGGTTTGGTTTTTTTGTTTAGATGTGATACAGTGGCTGTGTGGGGAAGTGGATTATTAAAATTATCTTGTCACTTTCCATTTAGAAAAAATACTAAATTTGCAGAAAATCCTAGCAAACGCAGTAAATTCTAGTGACGTTAATGAGTGAAGGAGCAAAAGTTTGTTTAATAATTCTGCCTAATTATAATGAGATTCAGAGGTGGTGATTCAGTTTTTAAAACTTGATTAATCAAATTAGATTGCCTTGTAATGCCTTGGAGAGAATTTTTGAGACCCAAAGGCTAATTTTACAAGAAACCAAAACATAAGTACTGCTTTTAATTTATTTTTCTTTGACTGGTTGGGTCTTTTTTTGTGTTTGTTTTTTTCTTAACAATTTTTAGCACAATTCCTCTTTTTGTTTTTTGGTTTGGTGGTGTTTTGTTTGGAGGTTTTGTTTTTTTTTTTTAATTGCAGTTCTGCTTGCTCTTAATCTCCATTTCCTCTTTCATTTCCGTTGACTGTTCTTAAAATTCCCTTCAGCAAGTTTGACTCCTATATTGCCTCATGGCAGTCTGTCATGCTGTTCTGATCACATCTGCTGAACTGAGGAGCTGTGACATAGCTAAACCTGATGCTGTTGCCACTGGATTTTAGAGCCGGTATCAGTAAGTTTATGCAGCAAAGGGTGTTCATGCTTACATCTGAGCCAAATAAAGAGTCAAATAAACATGTCCTGCATCAGTTTTTCCCAGTTCATGTTAGGAAATTTTGTTCTACAGACAATGGTTCTGTTAAACTAAAAAGCAAAAGTTTATCTAATTGTATTATGGCTTAATTTCAGTGAGTCTTACAAGAGCCTTGAAGCTTGTAATTATTCAGAATTTCATTCACCTTGTTTGAAAGTCTGAGTCAATTGAACTGATACTAAATAAATACATGCAAAGAAGGTTCATATCTGCGCTAACATTTCTAGTAAGAAAAATATTTATCTTTTGGCAGATAAACCTTGTGATTTGCCACATATAGAAAATGGACAGATTGCCCAGTACTATTATAACTTCAAAAGTTACTATTTCCCTATGCGTAAAGAAAAAAAGCTTTCCTATTCTTGTATGGTGGGTTACACAACTGAAGCTGGAACTCAGGATGGAAGAATAACTTGTACAGCAAAAGGGTGGTCTCCAGTGCCAGTATGCTACAGTGAGTTACCTTTATTCTCATTGCTGCTTTTTCTAGTAGAAAACTTTTCTAGCTGGATTTCCTGGGACATTCAGGAACAAAAGCTGCATAACAGGAGGGATAAAATGTGTAAGTTTGGACAAGGTGAAATCAATCCTTTATGTATTCAAACTGCATATGTTTATATGAAATATTTTGACAACAATACATATTTTAAGGGCTTTTCCCATATGTGCTTTTACAAGAACACCAAGAAAGCTGCCCAGATTCCTTATTTTGGGAAAACTAATAGTTTCCCCTCAAATATATATCCTCGAGAGCCTCCCTGGCTCTGGATTCCTTGGTCTCCCTGTTCCATGTCACTACTGTCAATCTCATGTATTGTTAGATTTTCGGGGTAGAGTTTAATAGGTCAGGTAAACAAGATTAGATCAGGACAGCTAAAAACTTTCTTCTTTCGCTTGTGAGAGAACAAAAATGCTCCATCAATTCTTTCTTTCTAACCAAACTCTCTTTTCATTTAGAAAAATGTAACAAACCTCATTTGGAAAACGGCTTTTTTTATGGTACAGAAATGTACTTCAAAATCCACGAGAAACTGCTGTACAAATGTAATCCAGGCTACCACAGTCCAAGTGGTGGTACTGAAGAGACTGTACAATGTCAGTCAGAAGGTTGGTCCTCCCAGCCAAGCTGCACTAAAAAATTTGGTAGGTCTCTGCATTTTTCTCCTTCATGATGTCTTACATACAATACTGCTGTCCTTGCTGTACCTGTAGAGCCAAACTGCATATATCAGACTATCATCTGAGTACTCCTAAAGTTCGTTCTCAGCTGTACCTCATGGGAAGAAGTTGTGAGCTTTCACATGCTGCTAGGTTTGTGAACTTGTATAGATAAAACTGCATGTGGAAGGAGTTGGTATGGATGAATGAATGGTATAGACTGTTTCAAATCCACTGCCATACAGATGTGCTTTCCAAATGACAACTGGAAAACTTGTGTAAACTACTGCATTTTTAATCATTATTTGCAAAGATTTTGCAACGAGGATGACCACTTTTAGAGTGTATTTAAGGAAAATTTTACATTAATAACTTGCAATAAGCAATTAATATTATGCATATATTTTCTTTATTAAGAGTCATGTCAAGTACCAGATTTACATCACGGCAGCTACTTCACAGCCCGACAAGAGCTTCAGCTGAATGAAACACTGCTGTATAAATGTGATGAGGGATATCATACTGCAGGAGGCAACACTACAGAAGCAGCAGTGTGTCTAACACGTGGGTGGTCCCTCACTCCAAGCTGCACTAGTATGTAATGGGCTGGAAAATACTTTGTTTGAAATGTGACTTATTCTACAAATGAGCAAAAACTTGCAAAAAGGCTTGTTTTATAAGCTGTTGGGGTGGGGGAAAGCCTTCCTCAACTGTTTTTCACTGCTGTGTGTTTTCTTCCTAGAAATAACTTGCTCTTCTTTGAGTGCAATAGCACATGGAGGTTTCTATCCTGTGAAGAAAGTCTACGAAGAGGGAGATGTGGTTCACTTTTTCTGTGAGCAAAATTATTCTGTCAGTGAATTTGACCTAATTCAATGTTACTATTTTGGATGGCATCCGCACCCCCCTGTATGTGAAGGTACCTTTTTTTATAGTTTTACTGTATCAAATTCTTAGTAAAACACTAGGACCTACCTTCATGGAAGGCTGTATGAATGCTTTTTGTACTAGTTCACAGCCTAAATAGAAAACTAGTGTCAGCTGAATGGCATGAAGCCAACATAGCAGGGAGGGAGGCAATAATAATTGGAATTAGTTTTCAGTAGACTCTAACAATCGAACAGATATTGTGTCTTGCTGTTGTTTCCC